ATATTACAAAGCTCCTCTAGGGCTTCCAGTAAGTGCTCACAGGGAATGTCACTCCACTGTACATCTTCATCCTGGGGCACCCAACTTCAGCAGTGTGGGTCAGCAGTCTCAGATACTAGAGTTAAGTACCTAGAGGACCCCCCTCCACAAGCAGCCTCCCACCCCAAGGCATACAGTTTATTTGCTCTGTGAGCTTGGAGAGGAGCCGGCTTGGAGAAGGCCTGGTGGTTCTGAGTTGCACTGCTAACGGCAAGGTCTTCCGTTGGAAATCACCAACAGCTCGGCCAGAGAAAGACTGGGATTACCATTCCTAGAAAGATTTCCAGTCTCAAAAACTCACAGGGGCAGTTGTACCCTGCTCTCTAGGGCCACTATGAGTTGGCATTGACTCAATGGCAGTGAGGGAGGGAGGGAGGGAGTGCATAGTGAGTGAGTGAATGAGTGAGTGATCTGTGTTGTCCACTCTCTGTCTCATGCTCGGGTTCTGTGCTTGCTTCTCTGTCACTCTACCAGTGCCCCAACTATCTCCTGGATCAAGAAGGTTCGATGGCAGGGATCCCAGGGTCCAAAGGACGCACTTCACTCTTGGCTCTTCTCTCTTGCTTGCAGTAAGATGGCCCTCCCTGTTTTCAAGCTGCCTATTTTATGATCCCCTAGGTGGCAATCACAATGAACACTGTTGTGGTAGCTACATAATCTGTTGTCAATTGGAGACTTAAGAGTGAATGGGGTGGAGTTTAGCTTGTCAATCGGGTCACAACTTGATGGCCTGATTTGGAGGTGCTAAGGAGATAAACTAACTCTCTAGATAAACTAACTTTCTCTCGGGAAACTTGTACACTCTGTGAGACATTACTGACCATGAACCTGATGGAGCTACATGGATGCAGCCAGAGCCTGGAGCTGGAGACCCACACCAGCGCTGAGATATTTACACCACCACTGGATCCTCAAGACTTTCCACCCACTGGCCTGTGATCCTCCTGCATTAGACATTATTGCATGGCTGTGTGAGTCTAAAGAGGAATTTATGGGCTAGTATTGGACATATGGCAAATATACTTCTGGACTTCATCTGTATTGGGCTGGGATGTTTTCTTAACGTATAATTATATTTCTTATACACATATGAATCTCCTTGGATTTGTTTCTATAGTCTATCCAGACTAACACACCTGTTGACAATCACAATCCAATTAGTATCTTCCCAAACTTCTTACCCAAACCCACCAGAGCAAAGGACAACCAGAGTCAAAAGGGCTGTGGCCAGAAGAGCTCTATGAAATGACCCACCGCTCCACAGAGCTTGAGAGGCCTCAAGGTCTATAAACATTTTTCCTGTTAATTATTTTCATTTCATTTATGGTCTTATTTCACGTTAAAGCAAAGGGAGTTTCATAATTTCTACTATATCAAGAGCACTCTGTCATCCACTTGATCTTAACAACCTCGGGCTGCTTTGTTGTCGAAGCCTCTTCTCTCCAGGTTAACAGGGATGGCACCACAACAGTGGCCCCTGTTGTGGAAGTCATGGCCATTTTCTGAGTCTGGGGACACTGAGGAGTTTCCAGCCCAGTCAACAGCAGCATTCCCCTGCCAGGCTCACTCTTCTAGGATCACATTGGACTTCTGCTTTTAGATTGTAAACAGACATCCTGCCCAAATGCCTCCATTCTTCTGGTCACTTGACATATGGATTTGGGGACACAAGATGGCAGGAATCTTCAGCCTATCCCCTGACCTACATGTTTTGGACTTAGCAGCTCCTGAAATTCTGTGATCCAATCCCTAAAATCTTGATTTTATTACTTTCCATGACTTCCACAGTTACATAATCTGGTGTCAATTTGGGACTTGAGAGGATTAAGAACGAAGGGGTGGAGTTTAGTTTGTCAATTGGGTCATAGCCAATGGGGCCTCTGTGTAGGCATGCCATTCTGGGAATTCTGGGAACACCTGGATTTCCTCCTTGGAGTTGGGAGAGACTCTCTCTCTCTCACTACTCACTCCCCTTGGTGACTCTCTCTCTCTGCTCACCCCCTGAGAGACGCTTTCCTGACAAGATACATAGCACTAAGCCCTGGGAGCTAGAGAAGCCACATGGACCTACCCTGATGCAACCAGACCATGCTGCATACTTCGCTGGGTTTCTTTTTTCTCTACCTGCCCTGGCTGATTGTCAGTGTGGCCATTTTCTTATCTCACAAAGATGTTATTCCATTGCCTAGAGGCTGCCTTACAAAGTATGCCCCCAGTCAATGTAATAACAACCATTATCACCATCACCTCACATGGGTCATACGAATGGACGAGCAGGCTTGACTCTTATCTCAGTCTAAGATAATTTTTCTGAGTTTTGGTACTACAATTCAACAGTTTTAACGTTCTCTCTGAAGACATTTTTCTGTGCAGTGTCCTTCAGCTACAATCTACTCTGAAACAATCATGGTGGTGAGGGACTTGAGGTTGGTAATTGGTATCTAGAATCAACATCCATAGCGACAGCAGTCCATGACTCAAACAGTGGTATACGTTGAGCACATCGGCTACCAAGGGCCTCTCTAGAGTATTAAAAGGCACACATGTCACTTAAAAGACTAAAGTGTGCCGGACCCGTTCCAGGGTCTGTTCAATCACCTCAAATGCCCTCGAAAGCTGGATCAGGAGTGGGGAAGACTAAAGAAGAACCGATGCTTTGGAATGATGGTGGTGCTGAAGAACGCTGAATATACAATGGCCTGCCAGAAGAATAAACAAATGCGTCTTGGAAAAAGTACAGTCAGAATTCCCCTTGGAAGGAAGGATGGTGCAACTTCATCTCATGGACATTTGATCAGGACGAAGCCGGTGGCTGCAGAAGGACACCGCGCTTGGTAACCCAGAGGAACACTGACAAAGCAGAAGACCCTCAATGAGACAGACTGACACAGTCCCTGCAGCACAATGACCCGGCGGGTGGTGCGCGACCAGGCAGTGTTGGGTTCGATTACAGATGGCATTGCTATGAGTTGGAACGAACTTGAGGGCATCTAACACTTGAGAGAAGAAAAGGTGGCGTGTGCCTGCAAAATGATCTAAAAAATAGGAAAAACAGAGAAGTAAAATGTTGAGGTCTTCCAACCTGAAAATGTTGCAAAAGAACAAAACTAGTATTTTTGAAGGCTACAGATTGGGGCCATTTTTCACTTCTAAAAATGTTAAGTCAAGGAGGGCACCATCCTCTCAAACAGTTGCTCTGTGTGCTGCCCCAAACATGCTAATATAAGTTTCCATGTTTTAGGACTTGGCAGGAAAATCTTATGAAAATAAAAGTGAGCCACTGTAAGTTCACTGCCTCCTGAGTCTCCATAAGTTATGTGCTTGTCTCTAGGCCAGGCCAGGGTGGCAATGGAAATATTGTGGCTAGTCCTGGCACACCGCTTTTGACATTTAGGTAAAGTTCATTGGGAAAAGAGTCCTTTTAGGTTACCCTGAATCTGAAGCCTCATTATATTAGGGACATAAGTGCCCATTTTTTGTAGTCCCCCATTTGGTCTTCCAGCCAAATGTAAATGTGGCTGTGGTCCTCACTGAGTGGTAGGATGTGCTGAAGCATGGTCAAAGAGCTTCCACTCTGGCTTTCGCCGTTATATTTGGAGGAATGATCGTATTTTATTTTCTAATTATGTCAATTCTAAAATGTACATGTGTGTGTGTATATTATTAAGTTGTTGTTGTTGTGTGCTCTCTAGTTGGCTCTGACTCATGGCAACCTTATGTTCAACAGAATAAAACCCTGCCTGGTCCTGCACCATCCTTCCAATCACTGGTCTATTTATGCATCTTATGGCACCCGTCTTATTGCAAACCCTCTGTTTTACCAATCATGATTTCCTTCTCCAGCAGCTGGTTCCTTCTTATAGCATGACCAAAGTACATCGAGTCCTCCTCTATGGAAGGAGTTTTCTGGTCACACTGCTCTCAAACAGATGTATTCGCTCCTTCACTGTCCATGGTTTAGTGCATAAACTTCACCAACACTCTAATATAAATGTCTGAATTATTTAGCCTTCCACACTCACTGTTCAGCTTTCATAGGCATAGGAGACCATTGAAAATACCATGGCTTAGGTCAGGAGCACCTTAGCCCTCTGTGCTATCTTGGATTCTTTTTATTTGAATAAGGTTTAAAGTGTCACTGATCCAAACATTCCAAAGGAATGGAAGATTGGCAGGAGCTGTTGTTCATGGGATCTGATATTGTCTACCAGAGAGGAACCTGCCTATGAGGGGATGGGAGGAGATCTAAAAGGGATGATAACATCACTGCTCTGGGCCTACAGTTATTTTGAGCTCAATTCTGAGATGGGGTGCAAGGGCACGTGGACTCATTTCTAGTTCTTCTGTCTTCTGGTGTCTGCATCTCCAGAGACATCTTGTCACTGGCTGGCTTGCTTCCCTGCTTACAGCTACACTGACCTCTTGATGACTGGACAGGGTGCCATAGAATGGGGACCCACTGTGCACACCAGGATGCCAAGGCGATAATTGATGTTAAAGATGATTTGTAAGAATTTTGTCTCAGAGACCCAGGCCTAGCTTTCTATTCTAGAGCCGCGGCATCACTCCTGTTTACTGAAAGAGGTAGGAAGGTGCCCAGATGATAAACTTTTGAAACGATTGCTTCTAGATTTAAACGAAAATAAAAGAGTAGGTCCCCATGTGTTTTGATGGACAAAATCGGCAGGTCTGGAGTCTACTGCACCCTTCACCTCGGAAGCAGAGAGCTTAGGGTCTATTGCAGAACAAATGATGCCTACAAAGTCAAAATAACCCTTCCATGAAAATTAGTTTTCTTCTTTATTTATTTTTAAACATTTATTTTAGTAGTACATGTCAAAAAGAATTCTGTTCTTGTTGAGTCTCATAAGACCATGTATAATTGCTTGGGTCTTGGAATTCATATTAAATTTAAAGAAGTAACAATGTTTTGAAAAATACTCAATTTTGATAAAGATGAAGTTGACCTTGAAAATATTATTGTTCAACAGTTGTACAGTGCAACCATGGAGAGTCACTCACATCGAAACATGTGGTTCCTGCCGGCAGGGTCTGTATAGTGATCAGATTTTCTGTGCGCTGCATTCTTTCATACATATTAAAAAATATATATAATTTTTCTTTTTATAAAGTGAATGGAACTTAATGATCTATTTTCTAATTCGGGTTTATTAAAACAGTTTTATTGGCATTTAAATATATCATGCAATTCAATAGTTCAATCACATCAGGAAGAGTGATCAAATCATCATCACAATCAGGTTGAGAATCTTTTCTTCATTCTTGTACTCATCATTATGAGCTCCCCATTTCCCCCAGCCTCACCAGCCTCCCCTACCAAAGTCTCAAGGAACCGTTATTCCAGTTACTGTCTCTACAGATTTGCCTCTCTTTGAGTTCATATACAGAAACACATTTTTTTTTAAACTAACAAGTGAAATAGAAAAAAAGGAAGGAAAAGAATGATTGAAATCTGATCATGGTAGCAATTGTACAATACTGCTTGATGTGATAGAACTATAGAATGATATGATATATGTATTAACTCCTAATTAATAATACAACTTTAATCTAAATAAATAAATAAAATTTAAAAGCACATAATCTTAAAAAGTAGCATGTGATCAATATTGAACCACATTCAACATGCTAAATTTTCAATATGCTAAATTCCTCTAGATATATATCAACTCATCTATAAATTTAAAATACTCTATTCTATCTATAAGCATTACAAATAAATCTAAATACCAAAACCTTTTCAAAGAATTAACTGAATAATCAAAACGAATAAACACAAAGAGCCCCAATGTCTCTTAAACCTCCTAATACTTTTTAAAAAATACAATCAAGTTTTCTTAAGACATTCAACTTAAAATATCGGGTCCAAGGTCAGTTATTCAATATTTATTTTCAATTGTCCTCTAAAGCCAAGCTCTGAAGTCAGATAAAATGTCAATATTTCTGGAACTATTACACAATTTGAAGTTACGAGCACCACACAAATGTGTCAATATCATGAGTGTGTTGATCTATATGTCTACTCAAAATTATCTGGATCAAGACTGACTCATCTCCCACAACCAATACACGTGGTGTGCTGTAATTCAGTGTTGACCGTGCCCTTCCTTACATCGGGACAGTCCATGCATGTGTCTAGAGCACGACAGAAACAGCATTTGCCTGGGAAAAGTGAATGCTCCTTTACAGGAACAATTGAATCATTTCCACCATGCTGAGGATTCTGTCTCACTAGCGGGAAACTCCTCCATACAGACAGGAGATCTGGGGCCAGCACGGAGACATTCAAAGTCATCAATCACCTGACACTCATTGGAACCTTGAGCTCATTACTACAGTCCTCATGCTGATGAAGGTTCCAAGTGCATTTCCTCCCAACAGCTTAATCTTA